GGACTTGTGTCGCTAAAGTTTCGTCGGAACGAATTTACGGAAAATAAACTAAGAACGGAGACGTAACAATACATTATGTTCGCTGTTACAAACAATTTACATAGTGCCAACTGTAATTTTAGATAAAAAAATTAATTTAGTCATCCTATTTAGTCAACACCAAGTTTTGAAATGAAAGCTTTGAGTTACATTTAAAACAGTCGTTTGCAATATTTAATGTTTTGTAAAAAAAAAAGCAGAGAAAAAGAAAGTTTTGAATTAATTTAAAATATGAAAATAATAATACATATAAGGATGAAGGGTTTTTAAAGGAAAATACGCCTTTTCGAAAAACGTAAGCTGCTGTATAAATAAAGAAAAATCTCTGAGTGAGTTTTTGAAAATACTTTGCAAAATATACTAGTTAGTAATTCATAATTTTGAATTATATAAAAAAAATTATCTGATTTTGTCTTTTAAAGAACGTCTCGCAACAACGATATCCATATGAAAATAAACTACGCTTTCAGAAAATAGAATGTATTTTTTATTAAAAGTGGGTCAATAGATGGCGATAAATGTGTGGAAAATAGGCCATAATTATAGACCATAGATTATAATAAGTATTTACAAACGTACTGTTACGTCTCTGTTCGTTTGTTAATTTCCCGTACTATTTATCCATACAACTTTATAATACACAGAATTTTCACAGTCACTTCAACTGAAACACACGCTATAATTCACAACGATTTACGCACTTTACTTACAGCTTGACTCGATTATCCGTCTCTATATCTCCCTATCTGCAAAAAGTGTTCCTCCGCTTTATTTGCCGGCTTATATATTAAAATAGAGGGCGCGTAGAAAAGACTAGAGTTGCCAGGAAGAGACGTGATCCTTCTAGAAACTTATGACGTGATAACAGCGACACGTGACTTCCGCTGTCGTAACAGTACGTTTAAACAAATATGTAGAAAAATATGTTTATATCTATTTATTAAAATTAAGTTACAATAAATATATATAAAAGTAGATCGTAATTAATATGCACGCTAGTAGGATATGATAAATACGTGCAAACACAGGGCGTAACTGATATGCACAATCCTAGGTCATAATAAATCAATAGAGAGGATACTGGAACACATGAGAACCCCCTTTTTGATAATTATACACAGGTTATGTGTGACGGAGAACTCTAAAGGTTGTATAGAAAACATAGTTTTTATTAAGTAAATTAAGCCTTTTAATGAGGACGTAATATAATTAACTAAGTTCTAGTAATGTTCTAATGATTATTCTAAAAATGTGTTATAGAATACGTACACACACAAGTAAAGAAAAACTTTTCAAAAAAGGAAGTAAATGTAGGGATGGCTAATACCAATCCTTCAGAAAGAATGCAAACAAGGTAGTAGGGATGGCATTTGTATCATCCCTACATAATAACAACACAGTGTAGTAGAATGTTAACAGATAAAAACAGGATAAATTAGATTAAACTGTGATTGAATAACTATATATATATATGTTAATTCTTGCCTGTGCTATCATGTATGGATGATACAAATACCATCCCTACTATTTTATTCTCATTGTTTTTGAAGGATTGATGTTAGCCATCCCTAAATTTACGTCCAGTCTTGAAAGTTTTTTCTTTACTTGTTTTTTTATTGCAGTGTTTCAATAGACATAGGGAGGTTGTACTTATAACCACATT